GGTGGGTGGGCCTTGGATGCCGGTGTTGCAAACTCGACGCAGCGTGAAAGTAAATTTATCGAGCGACTAAATTTAACAGTTTGTTTAGCGGCACGCTTTGAAATTCAATATCCATCGGTTATCGCGCAATTACGTTTTAGATTAGCATAATACTACTTTATTGAAAGCCGCCGGGATTAAACCTTCATTACCCCCGGACTATTTGGCAAATGGAACGTTCGGGCCGACGATAAACTCGGCAAATATAAGCGGAATGAATCGTCCTTATAAGCGTCATCTATTCGTACGCGATGATCACGATTATAATTTGTAGTTCGTGCGTGGCGCAACACGATGCACATAAAACGGCCCTAACGAACGGAAAACCTAGAACATCGATTCACCCGGTTTTAATGAAGTTTCGACCAATTGACGTTTCAACCGATTGTGACATCGAATTAGCCTCTCGTGGATGACACACCAATCCGATGGATGTAGAATTCCAATTAGGGAAATAAAAAAAATCATGAAATCAATACATATGCAATTAAACATATAAAATTTGTCATTCGTTGCCTGACAGAAGGTTTGTCTTATGATAAAACGTCTATGATATTAACCATCTATGTATAATAAAACATACATTTTCCATATATTCGTAATGTAATTTGCTACAATATTAACAGGTACATCGTTTGAGAATATGGGACGTCTTTCACGTTCATTCCTATGCTCATGATTCATACTGTTTTGTCGAATTGAAGACAATACAACGCGAGGTATAATTTTTCCCGTCACAATAGATGTATCAGGCGACTGCTTGCTACTATGTCTAGTTTGTGTATCCACTAGCTTTTAGTCGTTGCCCTCGCCTGCCTCTCCATTACCAGGGCCGCGTAGCATTTTGCTGGCATTTACCAAATTAAGAAGGGAGCCTCACAAAAGAAAACGCTAGTGAATGGCCGGTGGGATAGTGACGTGGTAGAAGGGAAAGGTTGGAACCGAATCAAGAAATAATACTTCTGCAGTAATGATGCGATGGGGCCCCCCTACAGAATCTCTGCCCGCCCTTGAAAAAGTAACCCCCTCCTATTGCTCTTTCATCTTCGTTTCGAAGAAGTAACGATACTCGAGGATTTTATTAAGAGTAACAGTAAGGGGTTCTTAGACTGATTACGTAAGGAAAAAGAATATGGAATAGAATTCAGGGTTTAAACTAAAAAATTTAACTGATTATCGTAGATTGCTTCAGACAGTATTATCAAAGTGGATTATTTACAGAAATAATCCTTATGAAAGCTACAAATTATATAACATTGATTGCCCTTAAAAAATGGACCAATAGAAATCTAATAATTTTGTAGAAAATGCTAGTGTTTTTATATTAGAGGACACATTCGAAATTATTCGAAGAACTATGTAGTTATACGTGATTTATCAAAAGCATCATAAATCCATCTTAATTCATTAAAATTCAAAATTGTCAAGGGACGTTAGTATTACATTCCTCATTTCTATTATAGAAGCAGAATAATCTTCCATATCGTTCTTTGACGATTGAACCACGAAGACCGACAACGACAACAAACATTGTAGTCACAGAAAGCCACGTGTTGAAAATGGAATATTGAAATATATATCAGTGATGCAATTTCAATGTTGCTGTTATCCACGAAGACGATCTCGGGTCTCGATTAGTCTCGACCAAACAAGCTGCTCTTTTCCATTCTCTCGATCGCGAGGATTAATCGGAAACGTTCTTAACAGTTCAGCCCGGGGTTTAATTCGTGGTGCTCGTTTCGTCTCATTCGCGTCGATCCGCCGTCTCCTGCCCCGAACACTTCAGTAAATTACCTTCCTACAAATTGAAACGTTTAGTAAACGAAACCTGGTCATCCCTTGGTATACAGGGGAATGATCAAGCACATAACCTTGGTATACACATATATTTCAGTGCTCGAGCTAAGAGTGCGTGCAATCACCGCGACGAGGCGACCCGATTAGTGAAATGAGCACAGAGCACAGACACAGTGGATCGTCGCTCGGACGATTTTGCGCGGATGTGTACGAACATGGAAGGGAAAAACTAAATGATCGTGTTCGATATTGTTCCAAGAATCTAAAAAACTGAATTTGTGACGATCATAGATAAATTATAATGTTAAAGCCAAAAAATTTGGTGTGGGATGAACATCTAAATTATTACCGAGATCTTCGGGTATTGAAACCTTATTACACATCATAATTAAAATTGAATAATTCCATCATGGTATATGTGAGAAAGTATTCGTCAATTTTTCCATCGAAAAACAATATTAGTACTAAATTGTTCACCCCAGTTTCTTTAGCTTTTTACCATTTCTCTGGCAAATGTTCAATTTTCCGTCGTTAAAGTAAAAAATGGACCCAAATTTCAACTTAACACGTTGACTGCCATAGTGGAAAAGGCTGAACGTAGCCAGACACATTTTGTTTCGTTTTTTATGTTATAAATTATCGAAAATATATGCGTTTAATTAATAGAAGGTTTGCAATGTACATGCCAGCCATATTTATATGACGTGCAGTCAAAGTGTTAAACGTGACGACCATTACGTCTGCATGCACCAAATATTTTATATTTACCTTATATAGAGCAATAACAATACTGCAATAGCATATAACAATCAGAAACAATTAATACTTAAATTAGTCCTCGAGCGCAATCACCGAAATCCCGCATTAATTGTTCATCAAAAATACGCGAAAATTCCGCGAGCCGTTACGGAATGTCACGTTCCTCCACAGCCAACAATCCCCAACGACCGCATTATTAAATTTTAATAATAACCGCGCGAAATACTAGCTTCGAACGCGTTTCATCTCACCTCTCCCTCCGATCGACCCACAACGGTGAAAAAGGGCTCGTTTAAAAAATACATGAAACATTTCACCCGTGACCCAGTTACCTGGTCGAATGTAACGTTACTTTTCATTTCGATCGTCGGCCTCGAGATAAATAACGTACGAAATGGTGGCTCGATATACAGCATCGAAGTAAAAAAAAAAACCGGATCCGTGGCGGACACAAAGCGATCCGATGGATGAAGCGGCAGAGGCAGGAGGATGAGCAATTCAGCGGCATCGGCTCGACGATAATTATGATCGCGAAAGCCGTTGGGTATCGACGCTCCTCCTGTAATACAGAGGGTATTTCAAAACAGGGATTACATTCGATGTTCGATGCCACCGAGAAATTTAATCAATCGCCGCTATCCCCTGCCTCTCACGCGCACACCGCTCAGAATTTTAATCACGAGAATCAGAAAAATCTGTTCCGCGGCACGTACACGAACGCACACACACACACATAGACTCGCGTTTATGTGTGTACGTAGGTACGTCCGAGCAACGACGGACCGGTCCACGTCGCTTTGACGACGAACGAAGCGCAACTTTTACCCGTTGGGGATTTTCATCCGGGGACATTTTATTACGTGACAAAAACGGATCAGGGATTGGACGTAGAGGGGGAGAGGAGGGGGGGGAGCAGAGAAAAAGAAAAGTACTTACATTGCGCCAACGTATAGGGCATCCCTCTTACTGTCCAGGTACAGTGTCCTGTAATAGAACATCCCGCAGCTGAACTCTCTCACGTGTTCTGGAATCAAAAATAAACAAAGAGATTAAACACACTGCGAGTCTCGACGAAAGGGGTGTACAACCTCCACCCCCTCACCCAGTAGAAATTCATTTCCAAGGGACCGTTTCGGTACGCGCCGCGGTTGACGGATCGTTAGATTTTCATTACGACTTTTATAATAACGCTCGCGTCGGGCGTCTCTGTCGTTTTTGTTTACCCAGACCTGGGCGAGACGGCAACGCCGGGAGCTGGTAAGCTGAGTAAAGTCCGCGGGACAACTTATGTTTGGGCGACCTGAAAACTCGTTAGAATTGCGCGGCACGTAACACCACGGACGACGTATCTTGTATCATCGGGGGATGGGATATAGGGGGATGGGTAGAGGCCGTGTCAGATCGTGACGTGGCGGATTAACGACAATTGGCGTATAGACGAAGTAGGATGTCCTTGTGAAATGAATCGGAAGCTTCTGTGTTTGGAGCTGGACGACCTCGTGTAGCGGATCGTCAAATATTAGTTACAATTACCCTTGATGTCTGGATGTATTATAATTAATTATTCGAATGACAGTTCTGGATCTCGTGAAAACTTGAAGTTCAGACTCACGTAGACGTTTTTTAGGATCAAGAAACAAGTTAATGGAACTTGGCTCTTAAACTAACAAGTTACCGTTAAAAATGCATCGGACACTTTGAAACATGAGCTTTCTTCAAAACTGTTGGCTTACCAAGACTCCGGTTACAAAATGATGAATATCTACTTCCATTTTAGAAGGGAGTATCACGATAAAACGTTGATAAGAGCGTCAAAATGCACATGCCGGGTCCTACGATAAATCCTTTCGATGTAAAATCAACTTTTATATTTACGAGCGTTCGATGTAAACAGAAGAATTGATGCGAAAGTGCAAGGTTGTATTATAACAAGCAATGTGAGATACGGTAAAAATATCTCTTTGACCCGTAGATGTGAGTCTTGATCATCTGTAAGAAATGGGAAATTGAACTTCTATATTTTTCATCTGAAGGATTGATTTTAGGATCTATGCTGATTAGAAATTTTGTACTCTACTCGGTGAGTACTGTAAGCACCTAGGGGGAGGGTCCAAGATTTATAGTCTCAGATCCTGTTTTTCAACACGACGTATAATAATGTTGATACAATATTAATACAAGAAGAATAATCGGAAATCTGTTCCGTTCAAGGATACAACAAACTTGAGATGTCACTTATCGATAAGATCGCAGAAGATGAATAAAAATTTCCGACCAAATTATGCAGATAACCGTGATTCAACAGTCTAAGAGTCGCGAAAGAACCATCCTAGGAACGCACCGAATATAAATCGTCGGAACCACCGCGCGCGCAGGCCGCCACACGGAAAGCCTCGAATTATACGATGCTAAAAAATTGGATTCATCTCCTTACTTTCTGCTCTTTATAAAGAGAAATATCGGTAGGACGCTGTGGCCCTGGGAGAGAGTAGCACGCGGCTATTTTTCACGACATTAAGTCAAGCCGGCAATCATTTAGGAGCGGCGCGATGCAGAGAGTTCTCTGGGGAGTGAAAGTCGAATGGGGTGGTGGTTCGTGCACCGGTACACGCAGCCATCCTCTCGCCACTCTAGTCATCCCTTCTCCCTCCCCTCCTAGCGCACCCGTTTCGCTCTCTATCTCGTCGGCCGACACTGATCTGCTTAACATATGAAAGAACGCCGCCCTTTCCTAAATATACTCGTTCTCCACTCTAGACTAACAGAGCGCGAACAATACTATATTTTATACGGTATCAGTAGGGGCTGACGTCGAATGAAAGGGGTTCCCGGGGCGTTGGAGCACAGACACACCACTCTTTTTCTCTCTCACTTTCCCTCTTTCTCAGAGCCTATGAATGAATGCAAAAACCTGATCTCCTCGCTTTATCTCGCGACGAAATGGCGAATCCACGCCGGACCCCTTTAATATGGGACTTAACCGAACCGTGGCTCGTTGTTCGGAATCTTGGGGACGCGTTAACGGGGGCCGCGTGCGCGCATAGGAAACTGCAAGTGATTTAATCGCGCCATTGTTGCGTCGATTTAATGAGGTGGATGCTCTTTGAGGTCGGTAGATTACGGTGAATGATATGCTCGGGCTATATATGGAGAGCATGGAAAAGTGTATTGTAAGCGGAAACCGCTCGGCATGTTGGGTGGTTCTTGTGGCGAAGGATTGAATTGAATGCGTGTCCTCGCGTCTTATTCATTTTGTGGGAAGTTATTGGCTCAGACTCTTGGTTACCTTATTGTATTCATATGCTGGAGTATTGTATGGTAATATGGATCAGAAATTGTTGGGCGCGTGATATTGAGGTATTAAGGAATCGGGGAATACTTGGATTCCAAAGTGTTTGAATTTATTCATTAAAGGATTCAGATATCAAGATCGTACCATATTCCTGTATTCAGATGGCGAAACATGATTGCTTTCATAATTCTCTAAGGTGTGTTCAGCTGTGCAAAATGAAAATTTTATTAACATTTCGTGAATTGCCATCTGAGCTTTTTTCTAGGCTACATGGCACGGGGATATCATGTTTTGCCAACCTCTAGATTTCATCTAGAAATACATACCTCAGTGTTAACAACAACTGGACATATCGCATTTTCCCACCTGACGACAAACTTATAAATCAGTTACACAACTGTAGTCGGAAAGTACACGGGACCAGGAAGTCTCTGCATCGTATGAAAATTTTGCTAGGCATATTTTTAAGATCAATATAAAAATCTCGGATTAAATAAACTGAACCAAACCTTAACAAACCTGACACTAACATTCATTTCTTCAGATAATATTTCGTACGCCTAAAACCTAACAGTGTCAACATAAACCATCTTGAACTCAACGAATTCGATATAGGCTGTACCGTTGTGTTGAATCCGTATGATCTGATACAGTCAACAGCATACCTACATAGTATATCAAATCTGTTGAGTCCAATATGGTCTGCATCAAGACTTCTTTAATTTATATTAAATCCTTTCTAGGTTTTGTGTCCTCGAATCTCACCTCTGAATTCAAGATTATCGGTAGGTACCTAACTTCCTGAATATTGATCTATCAAATCCATACTAACTGCAAGCAATGCACATTCACCGCAAAACACACGTTATATTCAATCCAAAGAAAGTATTGTTTTACGATTTCGCGAATAGAAACGGGTTCGACGATAAAATTAGAGGTAACACGTCCCATATGGGTCGTTATATGCGTTCGAGGTTACGGTGAAACACTCGCGTCAGTTCGTTAGATCGACGCGGATAGCTCGCGAACCGGAGAACCGCCGCGGTCCCCACGGGGGGGGGGGGACTGAAAATTTATACTCGCTCGCAAATACGAACGTTCGTTTTTCCGGCTCGTCAGTGAGGCGGGCGCGCGAGTTCGTCGCGCGCGTTATTCTGATTTTATTGCCGCAATAAAATCGTATCGCTCCCCGTGCATGGAAGATGATGCCTGCACCTGCCGCTCGTTCGACCAGTTGACATAACTACTACCCCTTCCCTCCTACCATAGTACGTTCAAACGCGAGCCTATATTTTCGAAGTGTCGTAAAAATGTCCGCTTCGGTAATCTTCGCGGTTGTCGTCGAGATCGAGCGAACTTTCCGCGACATTCTCTGGTTGCTCGAACATCACGAAGACTGGGAATGGTTGTTTATTGACTTCTAGCTCGACCGTATATAACTGTGAAATTAATTTTACTCGCGGACAAAACGACACGCTCCCCGAGTGTCTAATTTTGGTCTTCCATTCACAAGCTGCTAGCTGCAAGGGGCTCGTGTTGTTTCGTGTTGTTTGATTACAATTTTCTTGCTTGAATTCTGTGATTCAAAAGAAAAATGTCACTCTTAAAATTTAGTTTTAAATTTACTTTTACGGTGTTATAGGGGTCCAGGAAATGAAGCCTACAGAAGCGAGGAATGTAGATCGCTAATTACCAAATATTTGCGAATCACGTCTGCCTTTGCTCGTCGAAGCCGCTGCGAGTGCTTAGACTTATCCTTCGTATTTCCTGAAACCGTAGCATATATATCATCGTGTACGTTTCAGTTCAAACATCTCGAAATACTGCGAAAATAAATTGTAATTGCTGGTCGGATGTAATAACAGAAAACTATAGTGAGTTAGGAACGTTTTATTATTCGGGTGAAACGAAAGAAAAGTCGGAACAAGAAAAACTATCGAATGGTAATATCAACAACGGAGAAGGATTGGCTACACTAACAGAAGATTCTCAAATATTTAAAGATCTACTTAGAAAAACACGTTACTGTGACATATAAGGTAATTATAGTACTATCTTTCATATTTCCAGGATTTGTCTGGCCTATTGTTATTAAGTCTTTTAAAATTTTGAAGGCAGCTAAGTAACGAACTATAAATAAATTATAGAGATATTGTTACGTGTTACCCGATAGGTAGCACGTATTGTATAATGTTAAAGCGAGAGACTTCAGGTTAGCAACGTCGTTTTGGTAAGAACACCAAAACAGAGACAGAGTAGAGTCGTGATACGACTATAGAATAGAAAAGACGTGTTAAGATAGGTACTCCTCATCTCCAAATAAATAATTCTTCCTTTTTATTAATATTGCCTTTATTTATTCGGAAGTCATGCCGCGTCCACGCAACAATATCATTTCGGCCCGTCTTTTCTGTGTGATTATAAGAACCAGACATGAAGAATCCCAGAAAGAAGGTAAACATGTTTTCGTAAAGCTAACTAATTAAAATAATTTAATTAACTTTACTTTTCCAAGTATATTTTGTTTGACGATATCACGATTATCTAGGCGTAGACTAACTTCGAATCGTCGAAAAAGTTCCTTCAGCATCGTGTGCCGATAAGATCGTTCCTCGGGGGTAGTTAACGCAACGAGATAACGCTTAACGACTCCGGGACCGGAAGCTATCCATTTGAATTCGGTTGTTCCGGCAGCGGGCTAACTCGTTGAAACAGTATTTCTCAATTAACCG